TTTAAATGACTTTTTGGTATTCTTTATCCATTTTTTTATGAAATGTTTGTAGAGTTTCTTCCCTAAAAAGAAAACAAAGTGTTATTCCTTTTTTAGATATGTTGCAAATATTTCCCATTCTACTACTTGTCCTTTAACTTTTTTTATATGTAATTACTACATAGTCTTAAATGTTTAATATAGTTATATTGTCAATATTTTACTTTCTAGCTTCTGGGGTTGAATATTTTACTTCAGTGTAAGAAAAATATTACTTTGTATTTTCTCCTAAAACTCCTTCAATTTTACGTATTGATTTTTAATCCACCTGAGTATTTTTTGCATAGTGTGTGAAATAGGGCCCTATATATCTTTTATGTCAAGTAATAGTGATCTATGCACCCTATTTGTTGAATAAGCCTTATTTTCCCCATTGACTTGAAATATCAATTTAAACATATATTACATTGTTAGACAGATATTTACATTTGTTCCTAGAATGCTCATTTTATTTCATTGGTCTAGTTGATTATTTCTGGGCTAGTATGATGTTGTTTTAATTGCTGAGACTTTATAATGGATTTAAATTTTTTTTAATTTTATAATGAATTTTGGCATTTAAAAAAATAAACAAAATCAATCTACATTTAAAAAAAAGAGGGAAGGGACTCACCTTTTGCAACAACGTGGATGGAACTGGAGAATATCATGCTAAGTGAAATAAGCCAGTTGCTGAAAGACAAATATCATATGATCTCACCTATCAGTGGAATCTATTCAACAAAATAAACTAACAAACAGAATAAACCACAGGCATGGAAACATGGAGCAGACTGAAAGTGACCAGAGGGGAGGGGGAAGGAAGATAATGGTAGAAAGAAGGAGAAGGGACTAAATGAAGAACACGTGTGAATGACCCATGGACATGGACATCAGAATGAGAATTAACCATGGGAGAGGGGGGTGGGGTGGTATGGGTGGAGGGGGACAAAGGGGGGAAAATTGAGACAACTGTAACAGAATAAACATGATTTAAAAATAAATACATATTTTTAATATTTTATTTACTTATTTATTTTTAGAGACAGGGGAAGGGAGGGAGAGAGAGAGGGAGAGAAACATCAGTAGCTTGCCTCTTGCAATGCCCCCAACCAGGGACCTGGTCCACAGCCCAGGCATCTGCCCCCACCAGAAATCCAACCGGCAACATTTTTGGTCCGCGGGACAACACCCAACTCACTGAACCACACCAGTCAGGATAAGAAGCAATACGGATCTTTAACCAAATATCTATGAGAGAAATAGAACTTAACTTAAAAATCCTTCTCAAAAGTAAGTTCTAGACTCAGGTAGCTTCACTGGTCATTTCTACAAGACATTTAACAAAGAACTAATAAGAATTGTACATAAACTCTTTCTCAGTATAAGAGATAGAACATCCCAGATAATAATACTTGGATATCAAAACCAGACAAAAACATTATAAAGAAACTACAGTCCAATATATCTCATGAATATTGACATAAAAACTCAACAAAATAGAAACCAATTGAATCCAGCAACCTATAAAAAGAATGTCAAATTCTTCTCCTTCTCCTCCACCCTCCTTCTCATCCACCCTCTCCCTCCCTCTGTCTCTTTTGCTCATATTCCCTCCTTCCCTCTACCTTTCTCTTATTCTCTGCCTCTCTCTCTCTGACCTCTCCCTCTGTTTCTATCTTTCCATATTTCTACCTCCTTTCCACTCTCCACATACCACCATGGTTGGTACCTCTAAGTTGTTCAGTACATGCCTCAAAGTTTTTTGTGCACGGCACAGGGTAGAGCTAGGGGAGAAAGTCCCAGAGCTGTTCTGACCACCCCTATGGTTCAGCCTCTGGACAGCAAGGAATTCCCCATGGTTCCCAAATGGCTGAGCTGAAAGACACAGGGTTGGGAGACTCAGGGATAGCTCTTGTTTAGATTGTCTCTCTGTGCCTCATGGTCCCTGGGATCCTGCACAGTAGACATCATAAGAGAGAGAGTTGGTGAACCTCAGAATAGCAGGCTCATCATCTACTCATTTCTTTGGGTAGCAGATAGAATCATGGAAAATGTTACCCTTAGATCTAATAGATTTTAGAATCATGATACATTAGAATCATTAACTCCACAATCCAGTAGAATATAACTCCATGAGGGCAGGGATTTTTGTCTATTTTTTGGTCTGAATTTTCACACAAAGCATTGGTAGCAGAGGTGGGCTATGATCCAAGTTTTCAGGATATACCCATTGCATCTCCCCTCCATCATCCCCCTTTCTGAGAGCAGAACTCACAGTCCTGAGTCCCTCACTTACTCTCCTCCTACTGCCCTGTCAGCCTGAAGAAAACTGGAGAAGAGCAGGTGCCCACAGTGTCCTCCCTTATCCCTCACCTCTGTCAATGACGTCAACGGATTCTCCACATGGACACCCAGAATATTTCTCACAAAGTGCGGGGCTGCATGGCTGACAAGCAATGTCCGGAGGATGAGCAGGAGGAAGCCCGAGTGGGTCAGACAAACAGCAGTTCCCAGGTGCTTTATCCTCTTTAATCACCACCATCAGCGGCTCCCAGACCTTCTTGCATCAGCCCCAAGGGGATGATGGAGGAGGGAAATCTGGGGGACTCCTCTTGAGTTACGGTTCCCAGCACTGTGCTGAGTGCATTAGTTCACTACGGCTGCTGGAACTGAGTACAACCAAGTGGCTCAAACAACAGATATCTGTTGTCTCAGTCCTGGCCACTACAAGTCAGAGATCAAGCTTCTGGTGGTTTGCTGGCAATCTTGGTGTATACAAACATCGCCTTGACCTTTTCCTCCATCGCCATGTGTCACTCTCTGTGTCAGTGTGTGACACTCTGCAAATTTCTCCTTTTGTAGGGACATCAGCCATATTGGAGTAGGGACCCACCCTTCTGTATGACCTCATCTCAAGTAATTGAAGCTCTAATGACCCTATTTACAAATAAGTCTACATGGTGAGGCACTGGAGGTTAGGACTTCCACGTGTGAACACTTGGGGAACGCAATCCAACCCATGCCATGAGTATCCCCTACCCCGTTATCTGTGGTAGACATCTCCGGATTGTCCCACCCTCTTCCAGAACCGGCCTTTGGCTGACCTCACTTCACGTATCCCTCGGCTGCAGCCCCAGTGGCTGTACCCCTGTTCCCCCATCTGACTGCACTTGGGAAGCCTCTGGCCGCGCTTAGTCCCTTCCTCTGTCTTTCAGTCACACCCCAGAGACTGTGGTTGTTTGCATCTGCCTGTTTCATTTCTTTTTGGCTTATCCTTTTCCCAAATTCTCCTGTTACCTCTTTCTCTCTCTGTCACATCCCCTGCAGCCATCACATCTACAGTAGAAACTGGTGCTGTGTTGACTGCTCCATGGACATGCACAGATACACGTGGGAGTCCACACTGTAGGTGCTGTGGAGGAGGGGCCTGCTTACCCAGCTTTTTCTGAGTCACCGTGTTTCAAATACCCTGTTTCTCTGGCCTAACTTTTCTCTTGCCTCATCAGCTCCCCATTCTGCTTCTATCCCTTGATTCTGCTGCTCAAATTAGTGACCCAGAGGTGAATAAACAAACCACCTGCTGGATTTCATCATGAGCCTTTCACAGAATGTCCTACGAACAGCATGTGTTTGATGTGGTGTTGCAAGTTCCTAAATGGGAATCCTTCTCTTCCTCATCTTTGCCAGGGTGGAATTTGGTAATCTAGGTGCCAGACTGGTGCTTGGGCCAATTGAAGTTTGGATCCTTGCCCAGGTAATCTAAACCTTGCTAACTAATGTAGAATACAGGGGGCCCCCACCCTGATCCCCGTCCGAGGTAGGCCGATGTTAATGAGAGCTGTGCTGCCTTGTGTCGCCTTGTTGAGTCCTATCAAGCTTCTATTATAGGTTCAGCTGACCCAGTTTGAATGCTCTACTAGGTAATTGGCATTTAGGGACAGAAGTATAGATTTTGGGGCCTCCTCAATGTGACCTTTGGTCATTTGTCTTGGCCTGGACCTATTTGTGTGTCTTAGAACGAAGCTCCGGCTCACACTGGGCTCAGAGGAAAGATCATAGCCTGTGACCACTTAGTCGTGTGTCCCTGACAGGCTGTGGCCCCTCATCTACGGAGCACTCCGAGGAAAGACTGTATCCTGTATGATACGTGGACCCATAGGGGAGCCGCTCACGAAAGACCCTCCTTAGGGAACTGAGGGGGTAGGGGAGAATAAGCAACTTCAATTGGCATGCTGAGGCCTGCGCTCCTGAGAGTGGACTACTCACCAGGACCCATATACACTCCTGCTGCTGCTGTGGCCATCTATGCCTCGGTTACAGCAAAATATTAAAAATAAAACTACTTTTAATTAATACCTTAACTGCCAAAGAGTGCAGTGAATGCTTTTCCCTATAACCTTGGGTGTCAGAATCGTGCAGCAGCAGAGGCATGTGCAGCAGCAGCAGCAGCAGAGAAATACACACATAAGGGCCCTGGCAGGCAGTGCACATCAGGGTACAGGCCTCAGTGTGCCCGCGGAAGTTGCTTTCCTGTCTCTCTCACTCTCTGTCATCCTGCGATGTTTAAAACTATACCCCTCCTCAGCAAAGCCTCCCCATCCACAGCCACACATTTTGTCTCATTCCAATACCTTTAAGTCTTTGATTCTTCTCTCCCAAGACCCCAATATCCACAGCTTTAGGGTCTCTTCTCACTCTGAGACGCCAAATCCCAAACTCAGGGGCACACATGCAACTATTACAAAATCTGCACTTCTGTAATTTGTCTACTGTCCCCCCAACTCCTCAGCCCTGGGCAGGCCCCTCAGAAGGGGCCTCAAATTCAGTCTTGGGCCCACTCCCTGTGTATCTGCCCGGGAGTACCGCCCTCCTCTGCTGCTGGCAGCGCCCCAAGCTAGGCAGGGAGCCCAGAGCGGTGGGTATTTGGGAGGTGGAATAAGCTAGTTACATAATCAGAACCAAAACCTGCCCTTCTCTTCCAGGCAGTATAAAGGCAAACCATCCCAGCCATCGCCATCTGACCGTGACTCTCAGTGCCACCATGCTGGCCTCAGGGCTGCTTCTGGTGGTTCTGCTGGCCTGTCTCACTACTACAACGGTCTTGATGTCCATCTGGCGGCAAAGGAAGCTCTGGGGAAAGCTGCCTCCCGGCCCACCCCCGTTGCCGTTCATCGGGAACTACCTGCAGCTGAACACGGAGCGGATGGTCGACTCCCTCATGAAGGTGTCAGGAGGCAGGGATACGGGAGGTTGTGTGGGGCTGGGGGCCTCTGCGGTCTGGCTGGGACCTCGTGGTAGGGGATTGGCAAGGTTGGGCCGAAATCTTAGGAAGGGGGAGTTTTGAAGGTTTAGCATCAGGGTCCTAGACAGGAAAGACCAGATCGTGGGGTGTCCAGCCCCTTGACTGTCAGAACTGGGCACAATGCCCGCCATTCTGTGAGAGCGGGGTACGGAGGCAGTTCAGAGCTGGGGCTGCTCCCTCCCACCCCTCCCACCCTGCCACCCTCTCCATCAGATCAGCGAGCGCTACGGCCCAGTGTTCACGGTCCACCTGGGCCCGCGGCGGATCGTGGTGCTGTGCGGCCACGAGGCTGTGAAGGAGGCTCTGGTGGACCACGCGGAGGAATTCAGTGGGCGAGGCGATCAGGCCACCTTTAACTGGCTCTTCCATAGCTATGGTGAGCGGGATCCTGTGTGGGAGGATCCTGCGTGGGAGGATGTGGCCAAGCCGACTGGATGGCCTCGGTTTCCCCAGCATTCTTCTCCCAACCCACCCACCCGCTCGAGGCTGTGTCAGAGCCCTTCCTCTGCCTCCAGCCCTGTTTACCCCCGTGTCCCCTCCAACTTGTCTTGCTGTTTCTGCCCCACCCCGCTTCTCTCTGCCCCACCTCCCGGTTCTCTCTCATTAGACATCTCCTCTCTCTCTATCTCGTAGAAGCTCTTGGGGTTTTGCTTTGGAAGCCTGGCCCTCTATCTCCATGTTCTTTTGGCCTTATTCCCCTTCTCAGTTTCTGTGTTTCCCCATGTTTCTCTTTCGGTCTCCCTGCCTCTCCTTTACCTTTGTCTTAGAATCTCACGTTACTTCTGTTTCGAAAGCCCCATGCCTCCGTTTCCTGTAATACTCTCCTGGGTCCAGACCCTCTCTGTTTCTCTGTACGTGCTTTTCTCCATTCTGCACCTCAGTTTGAGAATCCTTCTCAGTTTTTCCTTCTGCCTCCCAGATCGCCACATGTCTCACTTTCCCTCCTCCCCTCCACTCTCTCTGCATGTGAGTGTCTCCCTATCACTTTACTCTGTGCACCGACCTTGCCCCTCTCCTTCTGATTTCCTTCCACCTCGGTCTGTCTCTTCCGGTATTTCTCTGAGTGCCATTCTCGCCGCACCCCCGCCCGCCCGCCACTTTCTGGCCGTGACCCTCTCTAGGCCACTCCCCACTCCTACCCTTCCTCGCCAGGCGTGATGTTCAGCAACGGGGAGCGCTCCAAGCAGCTCCGGCGCTTCTCCATCATCACGCTGCGGGACTTCGGCGTGGGCAAGCGCAGCATCGAAGAGCGCATCCAGGAGGAGGCGCGCTTCCTCCTCGAGGCCTTTCGGGAGACGCGCGGTGAGCTGGGAACCCGGGGGTACGGGGGAAGAAAACAACCTGCCCAGGGTTCGGAGGAGGATACCACTTACACGGACACGCGTGTTCTGACCTGGGAAAGGGACTGGGTTGGCGGAAGGCGTTCCTCGAATCTCACGCTGCATCAGACCACCACGCTCACTCTTCCCAATCCCTTTCTGCTTCCCGACCGCCGGCCACCTGCCAGGCGCCTTCATAGATCCCACCTTCTTCCTGAGCCGAGCAGTCTCCAATGTCATCAGCTCCATTGTCTTTGGGGACCGCTTTGACTATGAGGACAAAGAGTTCCTGTCACTGCTACGCATGATGCTGGGAAGCTTCCAATTCACAGCTACATCTACAGGGCAGGTACCCGGTCCCAGCCTGGTTCCACCCGGACCCTCCCACAACCAGCCAACTGCTCTCCCACTGGGACCAGGGGCCCCAAATCCTATCCTCCTCTACACAAGGTCCCCTCAGAACCAGCCTTCTCGCTTGAGCAACTCAACCCAGGACAGGAGGCCAATATCCACTCTCCAATACTTGGATATCTCAGCTCTACTTCCCCTACAAAAACAGAAAGGGGAGGAAGGAAGGGAGGGAGGAGAAATGGGAGGGAGGGAGGTATCCCAACCCAGCTTACCTAAGTTCTAAGACAAGGGGATTCACACTTAACTACATGAAAACTTAGATATCCGTTCCACCCAGCCCTATCTAAATACCTAAACACCAGGACAGGTGCCTTTAAGCCAGTGCCTCCCTTGCCCTGAGATAAGTCCAGCTCCCCGCAGGGGATGTCCACCAACACCTGCCGTTCCCTTCCCTTCTCCTTATCCCACCCTCAGCTATATGAGATGTTCTACTCGGTGATGAAACACCTGCCAGGGCCACACCAACAGGCATTTAAGGAGCTTAAGGGGCTGGAGAGCTTTATAGCCAAGAAGGTGGAGCAGAACCAACGCACGCTGGATCCCAACTCCCCGCGGGACTTTATTGACTCCTTCCTCATCCACATGCAGCAGGTAAATGCCAGCCGCCAGTGCTGAGAGGTCCGAACACCAAGCAGAGCAAAATCACGCTGGGGGTGGGAGAGAAAGGGGCCCATTCACTTTTCCCACTACATCATAATAGTCCTCACCACCCCAATGAATTAACCATCACTGTTCTCTCTACTGAGCCCTTACCCACGGGCAGGACTTGTGTGTGCAAATCATCACAACAAGCACATCTATAACACTACCGTGCACCGGGCACTATTGTAAGAACTTTATGGTATTCACCTACTTAACACTCACGCCAGCTCTTGGAGGAGGCTCTACTATGACCTGAATTTTAGATGTGAGGAAACTGAGGCCCAGAGAGCATAAGTGCCAGGCCTGCGGTCACACAGCGAGGCAGCAGGGGAACCCAGCTCAAACCCTGGTCTCTCATCTCTAAGGCCGGCGCTTTTAGACAGGGTCCCCTCTCCTTCCCTGGGTATCAGGTCACCTGTGTGGACAGGTGACCTGGCTTTACTATGTGACATTGGAGGGTGCCCACTCCTAGCTGGATGTCAATGTCCTTTCTGCGAAGAAAGGAGACGGGGCTTGGTGGAGTCTGAAGTTCAAGGTGAAAGGATCAGGGAGTGGGTTCTCCATAGTAAGCTGCAAGACTTTTAGTGAAGGAATACTATGCAGCTGCTTAAAATTCTGTCTGTGTTTCAGAAACTCTCTTTGACTCTCTCTGACGCGTTCTGTCACGGTCTCTCTTCCTCTCTTTCTAAGGCACTGCCTGTCTCTGCCCTTCTCATCTAAATATTTCCACAATTAAAAAGCGGCAGGTAGTCAGCAGGGTAAAGAGTGTGGGAAGAGCATTAGGGGCAGAACCAGCAGCCTGGGAAAAGGCCTGGCAGAACTGGGGTCCCTCTTCCCACCTCTGGTCTGATTCGATGAGAGGTGGGTCCAAAAGAGAAACCCCAGAAGGGCCCTGAGAGTGTGGGGGCGTGGACTGGGCCTGAAGCTGTCCCTCCCTGCAGGAACAGAAGAACCCCAACACAGAGTTCTCCTTGAGGAACCTGGTAATGACCACACTGAACCTTTTCTTTGCTGGCACCGAGTCGGTCAGCACGACCCTGCGTTATGGCTTCCTGTTGCTCATGAAGCACCGAGACGTGGCAGGTAAGGCTGGAGGGGGCAGGGAGGTGAAGGCCACAGACTCTCAAAATTCCTCTGAGCCCACTGCACGTCCTCACCTCCCTCAAATCCCTGGACCCTCAAACACATCCTGCTAGACAGAGACTAGGTGATGCTATTTAGCTAAGAAGCACCAGCCGAGTTTCATTAGCTGTTAAAATATTGAAACAGTCTGAACTGATTGGGCATCGCTCCTGTGCTGAGCCCACCAAGGGCCCGCTACCTGCCGGTCCAGACCATTCCCCAAGGCTCCACCCTTGCAGCTTCCCCCATGATCCGGGCACAACCAGGTAACAGGACCCTGTGCCAGCAATGCTATGCACAACCAGTTTTGAATGATCTACGTCCATGTCACACACAGATGGCATGCGTGTCATATATGCAGTTGTACACATTTGGGCTATCATCCCTGCCCAGAGACCCCAAGGTGCCTAAACGTATTCTCCTCTATCCCCCAGCCAAGGTCCATGAAGAGATTGACCGGGTGATTGGCAAGAACCGTCAGCCCAAGTTTGAAGACCGGGCCAACATGCCCTACACGGAGGCAGTAATCCACGAGATCCAAAGATTTGCAGATGCGATCCCCATGGGCCTGGCCCGTAGAATCACCAAGGACACCAAGTTTCGGAACTTCCTAATCCCCAAGGTGTTGCCCTTACCAGTCTACATGGACGTCTAACCGGCTCCCTGTGACCCAACACCCCACACCTGTTAGATGCTTCCCACTGCCTGACTCACGCCCTCAACCACGGACTCCTCAGTCACATAGCCCTTCAACCTTCCCACTCAGAGACACCTGAAACCCAGGGGTACCCAAGACCTCTTGCCTCAGGGAATATGAACCCCATGTCTCCCAAATTTCATGTCTCAAGAGACATTAACCTCACTGCCCCAGGACTGCCTGCCTCACACACATGACTCGCATGGCCCCCAGACACCCTGCCTTCAGAGACATGACCCCACGTCCCCCAGACCTTCTGCCTCAGGAGACACAGACCCCATGTTCCCCTGCCTTACTGTCTCAGGGGCATAACTGTCATGTCCCCCAAAGCTCCTACCTCAGAGAAGACCCCGGCTCACCTGCCTCTCATTCCTCCGCACCTATGGCACCCAGATTCACACTCTAACTCCATGCGCTCCCACCATACCCATTACGCCTCCAGCTTATCAAACCCCCTCCCACCTCCCCACCAGGGCACCGAGGTGTATCCGATGCTGGGCTCCGTGCTGAGGGACCCCAAGTTTTTCGCCAACCCTCGAGATTTCAACCCCCAGCACTTCCTAGATGAGAAGGGGCAGTTTAAGAAGAACGATGCTTTTGTGCCCTTCTCCATCGGTAAGAGACCAGTATCTGAGGCCAAGTCACCAGTCACACCAGCAGGGGCCCCTTCATCCCAGCTCCCCTCTCTGAGGTGTAGCCTAGTATCTTTCTCCAGCTTAGAAGTCCCTCTTATGATCTACCCTAGAGCCAACCACTGCAACCCTCATAACTACCAAGGACCTAAGCCCAGGCAAAAGGAAAGGGATGATTGTACCCATTTCAGAGACTGGATGAATCAAGGCCCAGAGTGACTCAAAGACTTGTTCAAGGTCACTTCAATTCTTCAGATTCCTAAGAAGGAGATGACGGCACAGCAGCCATATTGGTGTGTTTCAGAGGAAGGGCCCTGTAAATTCCCAGTGCTACATCCTCGTATGGCTCACCGCCTCCCATGCACAAGGGAACCTTAGGCCGAGAGAGGTTTAGGGGCTTCTCCAAAGGTCTCTCAGGCCACGATAAACCGCCCCCTCCTCCCTGGGAGAATGCAGCCGGATCGGGAGAGGAGAGGTGGCCGGGAGCCAGGCCTCACCTCCTCCCACCCCGTCTGTCTTTTCAGGAAAGCGGTACTGCTTCGGAGAAGGCCTGGCTAGAATGGAGCTCTTTCTCTTCCTCGCCACCATCATGCAGAACTTCCACTTCAAGTCCCCGCAGTCACCCCAGAACATCAACGTGTCCCCCAAACATGTGGGCTTTGCCACCATCCCACCAAACTACACTATGAGCTTCCTGCCCCGCTGAGCTGCCGCTGCGACTGGAGCGCACCTGCACCTGTGCAGGGCTGTGGAGGAGCAAACAGGGACGTGGGGTGGCCTGGGTGGGGCTCGCGGGAGGGGCAGGGCTACGAGCGGTAGCCTCAGGGCTGGAGGAAAGGAAGGTGCAAGGTGGACAGGAGAGAGGGGCTGTCTGTCTACCTTGCTGGAGATGGAGCCTTCAGGGCTGGGATGAAGGGAAGGGAAACCTTACACCGTACTATGAGTGATAATAAAAACAACAGCTATTGTTTATGAAGTATGTATCTGGGTCAGCTCTGTGCTCAAAGGCGTCGCACACCTATGAGACAGGAACGGGGTTCGTGCCCATTTTACGGGTGACACAGCTGACGCGCAGAAAGCTTAAGTCTCCACCTGAGATCCGACAGAACACGGTAAGTGCTCAGCAAGTACTGAACACACATCTGCGCAGGAATGGCTATCCTTAGCCTACGGTACTTTAGGTAGGTTATTAAAAGGCACCGCTTCCTCACGTAAGAAACCACAACTTAGTATATTATTATACAATACGAGCGGCTCTGTCCAAGGATTTTTCCAGATCCCAGCTGGCAGCAAACCAGACTTCACTCCACGCACTTGCCCACACTCCTGGCTCTAGAAACCGCGGCGGCGGGAGGAATCTTAGAATTGCAGAGGAACAAACCGATGAATCTTGGCACTGCAGAGTCTACAGTTCATGGTCTGGGAACCTCAGACTCCCAGAACCTAAGACTCAGGAGTATTTGAAGCACTGATGCTCAGGATTTCCGCATCAGAAGTTCCCAGGTGCACAGCTTCGGGGACTGCACTCCCAACCCCCCAGGTGGCTGATGCCAGCTCTCCAAGCTCAAAGTTCTTTCTGAGAAGGAGCCCAGAGAGGGGAGGAGGGGCTGGGGCTAGCTGGGCTCTGCCAACCAGGCACTTCTCCAGGAGAACAGAGGATGACTACCAGGTGTTTGCTCTGCAAGGAGGGAGCGGGGAGGGAGGAGAGAACAAGAACCCTATTTTGCCATGTATTATGCTCACCCACGTTTCTGTGTGCGTTACCCCAGGGTACGTAATCGTTACACCCGTGTATAATGTGCATCCTTATTTTTCCCTCAAAAATTTGAGCAAATGAGTACGCGCTATACACGGCTACACACAGTAATCTTCCCACAATCCTCAAACACACCCTGGAAAGGGGAAAGCAGGAGTCCGCCAAAGCGTTCCCAAAGGTGCCAAGACAAGTCAGGATCTAGCCACCAGTGCCTGGAGCGCGCCTGTCCACACAGGACACTTTCAGCTTTGGTGCTCTGAGAGGGCCAGCTGCTGCAGCAGAGTGACCGTGCTGGGGCCCAGGTGGGAGCAGGAGCCCTGGATTCTGGCCCAGGCTCTGCCGCTAACTCCACGGGCCTTCTCGGGTCTCACTTTCTCATCAGTGCCTTCCTCACGGGAATTATATGAAGGTCAAAGCACAGCCCTGTGCTAAAGGGCTTCCAAAAAGCCAGAGTAGAATCCACAGCCAAGAGGATACAGCGAAGGGAGGCATAGGGCGTGGGAAAACCTCCCAAAGCCTTTCTGAAGGCGTCTTTTGGCCACTGGCACCTACACGGGCTGGATCCACCCCTTTATAAAGTAACAGCAGCACCTCCTCAGGTGCTTGCAAGAGCCAGGGGCTACTTGCTCTTGGCAGAAAAGAGGCTAGAAAACTGCACTTATCTGAGTAGGCACTTTTCCTTTCTTTTTTTGTCTCTTTCTTTGTAACTTTCTGTTTTCCTTTTCTTGTTTTTTTCTTTCTTTCCTTTTTCCCCCTGGTTTGATTTATTGATTTAATCTCAGCGAGAGGAGATGGGAGGGAGAAAGAGGAAGGGAAGCATGTACTGGCCCGCAAGGCAGGCAGGTGCCCAGAGTGGGAATGCAACCTGGGACCCTTCCCTCCAAGGGACTAGAAGCCCCGCCCCCGGAGCCACACCTGTCAGGGCGGCTCCGTGCAGGTGCTTTGAGTGCACAGACCATGGGTCCCTGCCCGTGGAGCATGCCACAGGCATTCTGGGAAAACCGTCCCGTAAGGGGCATGTTTACAGCACGAGTGAAGAGTACGCGATCCTGCAGAGGTCCTCCACGGAATAGCAGTAAGAGTGAAAACAGCTGTGCAATCGAAGGGGGACCCCGCCCTGCCCGCAGGAGGCTTCCAAGTCCTGGGTCCCCAACCCTCAACCACCCCTTTCTTCACTGCCTCTGCCTCAGCAAGATCCAAGGACACCCTGCCTCTGTGCCCCCACCCGTCAGGCACCCCGACACCCAGCAGCAAGCAGGCTGGCCCTCGGCCCCCACCCCCTGCCACCTGCAGCCTCTGGGATCACAGGGCTCTGGGCGCCGGGGAGGCCACTGCGACCTCTCCGTGGCGCCTCGGGCAGAAGCTGAAGAGGCGGGACTCCGATCCGCCTCCCGCCCAGGCATCCCGGCCCGGCCCTGGGCTGGTGCTGGACACCCGGCCCTGCCGCGGGGACTCCAGCCCGCGCGCTCCCTCCCCAGCCGAGGAGCCCCTCTGCCTTTCGCACCCTTCCCCCAGCCTGGGGCTCGCAGCCCTCTTCAGCCCCGCAGCGGCCTCTCCCTGGCCTCCCGCCTCGGTGCCGTCTCCTCCCTCCCCCTCTCCAGCCTGCGGCTCCCCCAGCCGGACCTCCCCAGGCCCTCCAACCCCTTCCAGCAACCTGCACCCCCAGTCCCCCAGCGGCCGCCGGTCTCCCCTCGCCCTGGGTCTCCCTTCCACGCCTCTCGCAGGGTCCCACGGACCCTTCCCCTGAGGACACCAGGGGCTAAACTGCAGGCACCTGAGCCTCTGATGGTGCCTGCCCCGCCGCGCTCTGGCTCCTTCGCTCCGGGGCACTCTCTTCCCTCTCTCCTTACCGCACCCGCCCCTGCTCTCCGGTTTCCTTTTCCCACCCTGCTGTGCCTTCAGGCCCCCGCCCCTCGAAGGGAGCGCGCAGCCAACGGGGATTGCCCAACATCCCAGGAAAGTCCCAGGGCCAAGGGCCGTCCTGTGAGTCCTCAAGTGCACTGCTGGTCCCGCCAGGAGCCATCCTGCCCTCCGCGCCCAGCCCTGCCGGGAACAGCCGCTTCCTCTGCCTCGCCCTCCCCGGCCTCCCGCTGCAGCCGCTCTCCCCCCTGCACCGGGACCCCAGCTCGACCACCCTTCTCCTGCGGGATCCTCAGACCCTCCTGGCCGCCCCTTGCCCTCCCTAGTCCTTTCGGTGTTCCTGCCCCGGAACCAGCCCCCAGCGCTCAGCCCCTTCCGCCCCGCCCCGCCCCGCCCCGCCCCGCCCCGCCCCGCCCCGCCCCGCCCCGCCCCGCCCCGCCCCGCCCCGCCCCGCCCCGCCCCGCCCCGCCCTTCTCCAAGCCCACCCCTCCCAGGACAGACACCCGGAGCCCCGGGCCTGGCGGCAGACTCTCCTGGCAAGTTCAGCCGGCACAGATTCCCCGGCAGAGCTGGCTCTTCTGCTCGCTGTGGAGGGAGGAGCCGTCGGCAGTGAACTGCTGGGGTTTTCTCTCACCCGACCGACCGGGGCCTGGGGTGGGACAGGCTCCTGGGCTGCAGATGCAGCCCCCAGGGCAGAGGCAGAGGCAGAGGCAGAGGCAGAGGCAGAGGCAGAGGGAGAGCACAAGGGGGGGGGGGCGCCTGGCCTGTGGGAGTGAAGAGGCTTGGAGTGCCCCGCGCCTCAGAGCGGTCAGCCTCCTCAGGACCTCCGGGGCCCTCCCCGCTCAGGGGGAGAGAGCCCTGGGCTCTGCCGCAGAGGCACTCAGGGACCCCCGGGGTCACGCCCTGACCCCACCTCTGTCCACTCCGGATCGCAGGGGGCAGTCCAAAGCCCAGCCAGGACGCGGAGCTCCGGGCAGTGCCCACCCACGGTGACAGGCCAGGGTGGCGAGGAGCAGGCGGAGCCAGGAGAGGCCCTCAGCAGGGACCCCGGCCTGCAGCAGGCTTGGCAGGTTCCCAGGGGAGACGAGGGCGCCGCCACTCGCCACTCGGAAAGGGAACACCAGAGGGAAGGCATGGGACGCTGCTGTGGCCCTAACAGGCCCCTGCTCCCCAGAGCCACACGTGCCCAGGGGGCCCAGCAGCTCTGAAGCCCCGCGGAGCCTGGGGAGCGCAGGGGTCACCCGAGACCGAGACCCGGTGGCCGGAGCTCCTCGGGCCCCAGGCAGGAAGGGGTCCAGCCAGGCTTCCCCCTTGCTCGGAAGTCGGCAGGCGTTCTCGGAGCCCAAGGCCTGTGCGGGTGCTCCCCACGCAGGTAGGCCACTGCTGGGCTTGGCCATTCAGGGCAGCGGACTCGGTCGGGGGGACAGCGGTGGCAGGCACAGGCTGCACGCTGGCCCCCACAAGCCCGCCCTGGGCCCCTTCCTTCCTCAGGGAGCGAGCCCCCTGATATCTGGACATGCTTTCACAATGGAACCAAATGTGTCTTCCCTGCCCTGGTATTTACAGCTTCACAGAGTTTTTGGTTTTATCCTCACGTGGGTTGAAAACCTTCCAAGGTTTCCGAATCTTGATATTTTCTATGGTGTCTGTCCCCGTGGGCTTAAAACGGTTTCTAGCGAGAAAAGGATGTCTTCCTCTTGGTGTGAAATGGAGGAGAAGGTTTTCACTTCCTCCTGGAGAAAGGTTGTGGGAGAAATCCTACTTCTTGGGTGTTTCTGGATGCAAGATTCGGGGGTCTGTGTTACTGGAAATTCTCGTGAGGAAAAATAGGACCCTAACTGAGGTCTATGAAGCTGAGGTAATATTTCGTGCACACAGATAGGGCCCATGCGGTTTAAACATTCGAATGTGCATTCGGGGATACCGGGGACTGTCTCTTACAAACCTTCAGCGATGCGTCAGTGACTGCCAATCAGCGTGGAAACAGTATTACAACCTAATCCAAAGAGCGTGGGCCATTCTTGGGCCTCTCTGAACCACAGGACCATTGGTGCCCCCCTCAGTGTCACTTTGGCCGCTGACACCCGGGTGGGCTGATCCGCCCCGTTTCAAGTGACAGCAACCCCTCCTCAGGGGCTTGGAAGAGCCAGGGGCTACTTGCTCTTGGCAGAAAAAGGCAAGAAAACTGCACTGGTCCGAGCAGGCCCTTTTCTGTTCGTCCTTCTTCTGTCCTTCCTTCCTGTCTCTCTTTCTTTCTTTTTTGATTTCGTTTTCTTTTGGTTTTGGTTTCTGTGGGTTCTATTCCCCGCCCCTGGGGGCTGCCTCCCTCCTGGGGCCTCTCTGAACCACAGGACCTTTGG